GTTTTAGTAAAGTCCTTTGCACTGCATCTGAGAGCTAGAAGCACCAATCACTTTACAGCATATTAGTACAACCTTCGTTTGTTCTCTTATGTGCATATGCTTAGGCTAGTTTTGCTTTAACGTGGCTACTGACACTTAACCAGACGCAAAATGGGCGATACTTCCAATGAGGTGTGTAATAGAAAAAACGAATTCGCTCTCCCCTGCGTACTGGGTTTGACCGACTAGGAAAAATATATACACTAATGATAATACTATTGACTATTTTACTTTGTTTGCTTAGCTGCAACTGAATAAGGCGGCCGCACAGTACAAGAGCAAGACCGAGGAATATGATAATCTTCTGCAACGAATTGTTCAGTGGTTCTCTGTACATTTGGACGAGGTTTGGAAGCTGATTTTTACTATTCACAGCACCGATGCGGAGGTTGTCACGTATGACACTTTTAAGGCAGGTGAGTCCTTGTATTCACCAGCTTACAAAACTTGTTTATGTAGTTCTGACTGACTTCAAGGCCCCCTTCACAGGCGTGGAATTACATCTGCTTTCCCTGCTGCTAGATCCTGATGCTGACGGTTGTATTCAAATGAAGGATCTTGAAGCCGGCGTTCTTCGTTTCTGGTAGGCATTTAGTTAACTTGCTATTTTTAGTAAGATATTTTTGTAAACGTCAGGAACTGCTCAAAGCAGATAAATTGGAATTCTAAAGCGATTATATAAGTAAATATCTTTATTTTATTCGAAAATTATTTTATTTTTTTCATCCGCCCTTCCTCTTCTAATATAGAACTTATGTCTTCTGTTTTACGTCCCCTTCGTTTTGTAAGGATATTTCGTGCACATCAAATCTCGTATAGTATTAGTCAACTTCTGCACAGGGCTGGGACTAGAGTCTTTTTTGACATAATTTGCTGCAATTGTTTACCAAGAAGCCCCTCAGCAAAATCCTTCCTATAGCTCTAAAACATTTATTTAAAGCATCGTTTCCCAATTACGATGTTAAAGCAAGCGTATACAGCAGGACTTATTTGTACAAACGCATTTCGAGACAGCTTTTCAACTGGTAC